CGGCGGCGGCGGCGGCGGCAACAACAACAACAACAGCACGGTGAACTTCCAGCAGGACGTTTTCTCGCAGAAGGTCTCGCTGGCTTACGTGAATCAGAACGCGGGCTCGGCGGCGGCGGTGGCGGCTGCCGCGGCGGCGGCCGCCGCCGCTGCAAAGACCCCCAACTCGTCGACACCGGTGGTCGTGGTGACCAGCTACTGTCAGCCGGCTGCCTCGCCCGCGTTGAGCGTCACGTCGCAGAGTTCTTCCAGCCCGTGCGTCACCCCGGCCCCGGCGCCTCTGCCCTCCGCCGGGAAAACACCACCTACGCCGCCCTCCTCGAAAACCGCGAAGAAAACGGCACCGAAGACGGTGAAGACGAGCGCGACCAACACGTCGAAGGCGTCGCCGATACCGAAGCCGCAGCAGAAGCCGCAGGAGGACGAGCAAACCGCCCAGAGGATCTACGCCATACTGGACGAGTACGCGGAGCAGCTGCGAAACTCGCCGGATCTGAACAACAAGCCGGCACCGAGGAGAAGATCCAACCCGCCGACCAACCCGAGTCAATCGTCCAAGAGGAAAAAGTCGAGCGCGAACAAGACGAAGCCGGCTGGCCAACAGAACTCGGAGCTTAGCCCGAGCACGGACGACCTCGGGAGGACGATGGGCAGCGAGGACTCGTCGAGCGGCGTTGTACACGTTCAGGATAGTCCCGCGGGTTTCTCCGCCCCAGACGAGCCGGCGGCCAACGTGGCCAGCGTCACCACCGACACGACCGCCGCCGAGGTTCGAAATCTGACCAACGACTCGAACGACGGCGTGGAGTTGAACGTGAAGCGGCGAAACCTGATCTTCGCGGAACCCGGCTCCGGCCAGTCGAGGGCGGTGATCGTTCAGGAAGCTGTGCAGACGAGTTCCGTGAGCGTGAGCGAAGCCCTGGCCTCGGTCACCGGGAAGATGGGAAGCACGGCTGTCCTGGTACCTGGGCCTAACTACATCTTGCCGATGAACCTGGTGAAGGGTCAGCAGTTCACGATAGTGTCCAGCGGGTCCAAGCTCCTGGCGACCGTGCCGGCGACCGTGCGAACCACCGGCAACACCGGCGTCTCCAACACCCTGGTCCTCCAGTCGTTTCTGAATCAAGCGGGCAAAATCATCTCGCAGCCGGCGCAGGTGAAGCAAGTGAAGATACCAACGCTGCAGACTCTGTCGAGCAACCAGACGTTGGCCACCGCGCAGAACGTCCAAGGCGCGTCGGTGGTGATTCCTCAGGGTGCCGGGGCCCAAGCCCAGTTCACCGCCAGCGACGTCGTGGCCATCGAGAAGAGCAACATCATCGGCGACCTGACCATGGCTAAATCCGACACGGTGGCGGCGGGGGCAGTGACCGTCGAGTCGACGACGAACGCGATCGTCGTGAACAAGAGCAACTCGACCATCGGTCTGATCCAACGTAACCTGAACGAGCCGTCGGAGAGTCAGCCGATATGCGGCGTCATCACCAGCAATCCAAACTTGACTCTTCAGGGTGCCAGGCTGTTCAACTCCTCCATACACAAGCTGACGACGCCGGGCCTCAAGTCTGAGAACGTGGTGTGCATAACGCCGACGGCGACCATCGCTCACAGTCCGGAGAAGAAGTCACCGCAGGAAAGTCAGATTCACAACGACAAGCCTGTCTCCATCCAGACCGGCGCGACGATCGCTCTTGCTTTTGCCACTCAGTCAGACGTGTCCTTGTTGAACGACGCGCAACAACAACATCAACATCAACATCAACAGCAACAACAGCAACAGCAAACGCAGCAAAAAGATACGAAGGAAATATCGACGGAAATAATCTCCGGTGCCAAGATCATCTCGCCGAAGACGGTCAAAAGAAAAATCGACGACACAACGGGTATGTCGGAGAACGTTCCGAAAACCTTGATCACTACTTCCAACTCTGTCGTTTGTTCGAGCAATGCCGTTGCACCGTTGCAGAGTAACGAAAAAATTGGTTAGTGTCTTTTCTTTTTCTTTTTTTTTTTTTGCAAACGTTCAGTAGACGATAATTGGACAAATTTTTTTTTTTTTTTCGTTTACCAAGGGGGAGTCAAGTTTTTTTTTTTTTTTGACTTATTTTTTTTTTTTTTTTTTTTTTTTTTTTCAAACTCGAGCCAAAAGTGTCTCTATATTTCTCTATTTTCGTTTGCAGCGTACAGCTTCTCGAGAGAAAGAAAGAGAGAGAGAGTGGAAAAGAGAGATTCTTGACATAAAGTAGCAAAAAACGAAATTATTAGGTCGAAAAATGATATCGAAGGAATTTTACGAGCGTTGTTGCGTTGTACATATGATTGGTTTATACGGACGAAGAGGCAAACAAAATTAATACAACAGGCTGAAATATACCCATAGTTAATAGTTGTAATCACTAGTATATAGTAGAGAGGAGAGACAGGGAGACGCTTGAATAATGTTGCACGTTGTTTCTGTCAACAGACTCCATGTCCACGATAACGGTTGCGAGTAAACAGTCCGGAGGTATAGATAACGCGACGCAGTTCTTGGTAACTGGCGGGCCGAGTAGCTCGGACAGCCAAGAGTCCCCCGTCCAGCAGTCCAGCGAGGGTATCGAGGTGTCGTGCAAGGTTGGCAACGGCTTGCTGTATGGGAACGCGAGACTGCAAGAGGCCTGGGAACCAGAGGGCAAAGTGTCGCCGGACACACCTTGGCGATACGTGCCAACGTCCACAAACTCGTTGAACATCGAGCCGTTGAACTCGAGATACTCGGACAATTCGGAGAACGTTCAGAGCGTGTTGCAGATCATCAACAAGGGCCAGAGCATCGAGATGGCCAGCGGTCAGATCTATCAGGCAAACGCGAAAAAGTACTTCATGAATCACACGTTGGAGTCGTTCCAGCAGTACTCGAACAAAAGCCACGTGATGAAGACACCGTTGAACCCCAGGTTGGATCGGGAGTTGCTGCAGCAGAAGGAGAGGAAAGCAGCGGCGATAGAACGCGAGATGAAGCTGCAGAAGAGCTTGTCGGAGGAGTGCGAGGATCTAGGCGTGGACAAGCCGAGCACCAGCGATCTGTTCCCAGAGGCGGATCTGTTGTTCGACACGAACCACTCGCCGTCCTTCGATCATTCCTCTCAGGACGCGTCCTGCAGTCAGTCGCTGGGCATGAAGTCCTACAGTGGTTCCTACTTTCGCTCTCTGGACTCGTCGAGCGGCAGCAGAGACGCCAGCCCCGTCGCCGATTTCAAGACCACCAACATCGAGCGTAGAAAAAGCAGCGGCGGCGGCGGCCAGCGAGCTAGATCCGCGAAAGATTCCTCGAAGAGGCTCAAAAGGGACAAGATGGAGGAACATCTGCATTTGGAGAGCTCGGCGAAACACATGCGGCTAACGTTGGACAACTTGAGCCAGGACGAAGCGTCGAACAGCAACTCCGACATCTCGAGACTGTCGCCGACGAATCTCGGCTCGCTGGAGAACGACTCGCTGAAGGGGACGAGCCGGACGAAGATCGCGTCGAGGAACGGCTCGAAAGAGGGCTCGCCCATCAGCGTGTCGAGCATTCCGTCGAACATGAAACTGGACATCGACTTGGACTTGGAATCGCTGCCTCCGAGCATCAATGTAAATAACACCTCGGCGGCAAGCTCCGGTGACGAGAGCTTAACCTTGCTCAGCGGTAACACGGCGGACGTCACGATTCCCTCGCCGCTCTCCCCTATCGCTGGCCCGATGTTGTCGACGCACAAGTACACCTACACCAACAAGAAGCGGATCGCGTCGAAGGTGACGAGGATGGATTACCTGTCTTGGGAGAGTCCGATGTCGGAGAGGACGAGATCGAGCAGCGACGAAGAGGACTCGAGCATAAGCGAGTCGATCGGCAGTCAACCGGAGGAGAACGCGTTGAGCAACGGGCTCGAGGACAGCGTGCAGAGCCTCAAGTCGCTGTCGAACGAACGGCGTTGCAACTATCTGAAAAAAAAGGATAAGTTACAGGTGAACGCGAGAGTGGTGTTGAATAGAGCGGATCACAAGAGCAGCCTGTCGACGAAGCGTATCAAAGCGAACCAAGAATCGATCCAAGACTCGGTGATGGTTTCCAGTGACAAGGCTTCGGAGCCCTCGGACGATGAAACGGGGGGGAACATCGCTTTGGTCGAGCCGGACTGCCGAGCTAGACGGTCGAGTTTGCGCGGACACGTTAAGAAGGGGTGTGCCTGTTGCAACGGCTCCCCAGAACGGCCGAAAAAGAAATCGGTGAAGTCCGATCACTCGCGATTGAAGAAACGATTGTCCTCGAAACAGACCGGAAAGAAAAGGTAGTCCTAGCGTTCGAACGCTCGACGGAGCATCGCGTGTTTAGTCGTAACGGTATATGCTCACATCTGGCCACATGTGTCCAGTGACAAAGGAGCTTCCAAACGCGTACGGGCGTCGTCGTGAAACCGACAGCAGCAGCAGCAGCAGCCGGCAAACCTGCCCAAGCAGAATGCTGCAATTCGCTCGAGTGACAAACGACCGACAGATAAACTAAACTAAAGACAAGCTTGTATATAATATATATTAGCGAATTGGGGAGTTGTCGGTGAGGAAACAAACTTTCACGATACGTCGGTAACTCGGAGTGCCTATTCTCGTCTAGGCAGAAATGTTGATTATACATTGTGACATTCGTAGATTCTCGATACAGCGTTGTGTACTACTCGTTTCATCGACGAGGGTAGGCAGAGGAAACGTAGAGAAAATAGCAGAGAGAGAATGAGAATGAGAATGAGAATGAACATGAACATGAACATGAACATGAACATGAACATGAACATGAACATGAACGAACAGCAGCTATATTAGCGATTCTCGAGAACAATAGATCATCCTCTTACCACTAGATGTTATTACGATATTAGATGTAAGGTGCAAATTATAATGAATGGCAGACTTAAAGTAAATCGTTAAGGATATTAGAGACGCAATCTAGTCAAAAGATAAAGTTTATGAC